AAATTCCCCAAATAAGTAATTGTCGACTAACGATGCATTCACATTCACCATTGCAAATTTAATGGAATCCAGGGAAAAGGGTTCTTCCAAGTTTTGAATTTTTATCTCCGAAACTAAACGTCGTACGAATGAACTGTACCTACAAAAAAGTTGCGTCTCATCATTTCCTATAACGTGATATTTTTTATTAAATTCACAACGTTACGCCTCCAAGAATTTCCATCAATAATCATCCCGGAGTCAAAGTGTTAATAAATACCCTAAGAACATCTGCAGCGGCCATCTGTATCGAACAGCGCAATAACGATGCACAAACAATGAAACGATAACTCCGCTTTTCGCACTCGCAAAAATTACAGATACCAGGCAACGGTCATCGAAAGCGCACAGATAAAGATAAGAATTTACTAGTTACATAATCCCGTCTTTATTTACGTAACTTATAACGAATCGAGTCCCATCATTATCTACGTACACTCGATAAAAACTAATTCTGTATCTACTATAAGAAAAAATTCGACGGAAACTCCGAATCACGGTCTTCGGAGTCGCTGTTCTTTAAGCTCCAACTTCGTTTGATATCGAAATGAACAAGAAGACCAATCGGAATCGAACTGAGAACAGAACATCCATCGTCAGGTACCAGGATACCCTCCGCACCGATCTTCTCATCCCCCGGCACGGGCACGCGAGTTCTTCTATGACGCGTACTATCGAGATTTAATCCGTATCGAAGCTAAAAGATGGAGATACCATCAATGAGCGTCGAAAAGAGGGAGAATAGGGGTCAAAGTCAAACGGTAACGAAGCTCGGCTCAGTTGTCACGGCTACGCTGTACCAGGCGGCCGCGTCGGAGCGCATTCGACTGCTCCTGCGATTCTCTGAACTCTCGGGACACTGCAACAGGTATTTTCGCTTCCGTTTCCGTCCTAAACGCGGACCTCCCTGTCGATTTGTCTCAAGTACACACGCAATCGTCGCTAAATCGTCACGCTTTCCACCATAAATCCTCGTCGGCCGCGTTCTAACAAATCTCGCGTCATTTTGCAACATTTCGATCGAGATGAAACAGAACATCGTACACATATTTCCTGTGTTCTATACGCCGCACGGAAAATTCAAAAGTCTCCGGTGTGCATCGTAATACAAGTAATCTTGCTTTGCGATTTCCAAACTCGTAAATCGAGATCGACCAAATCGTCGTAGGATTTGTTTTTTTTTCTTTTTTTTTGTTTTTTTTTCTTTTCTTTTTTTTTTCTTTCGGCTCGAGCGATCGAGCTAACAACAAAATAACGTTGACGTTCACCGCGTAGCACGGTGCAGCATGGATCCTCTTTAAATTGGGAAAGTTGGGGCGTTCTTCCTCGGCGTTTTTAATCGAAGAATGTCGTCGGTCCCCGTTTCGACTTAATTTAACGAGATCGAATGCGAAGAACTAGATTCGAACAACTGGAACAGTGTTCGAGGGATTTGAAAGGGGAGGGCTGTGTCGATTCACGCATTAAGAGAAGTTGGCCCAGCGAACGGTTGTGAAACGGCCTGATCAATTGCCTGGTTCGAATCGGTGGGACAGTCAATTCATATCGCAATGAAACTGACCTTTCCAATAATTCCCTGTCTGTATTTACATGCTTTCAGTCATACATGGCTGGTATTTCGGGATCTATCTGCTTCTGTACGATTTATACACGGTGCGATATACAGTGGGTGCAGAATGTATTCGTACACCGATCAATTTCCTAAAAAACTTTCGTGTGAAATTGTAGTTTCTTAACTTATACAAGACTTATATACTTATTTAATTATATACTTTTATTGTATTAATACTATTTAGGGGAAGAAATAATTAACCAACATTTCTACGTATTTTTAGAGTAGATTTTGCGTAAATTCAATGTTCATTACTCTCATTTCTTTCCTTATTAGTTTTTATTTTAAATTGACGCTGTACGAGTACTTCTTAGACTGACTGTATGTAGATGTATGTTGTACAATATTGCTTTTACAAATTTCAATCGAGCCCAAATCGATTTGTTTATTAACTCAATCACGCAATTTTTACGAGATATCTTTTACAATCTTGCTTTTACAATTTTAAATGAGCCCAAATTGATTTGTTTAT